CGAAGGCAGGCTGGTGTATAGGGAGATGTACAGAGAGAGTAGAAGGCAGGCTGGTGTATAGGGAGATGTACAGAGAGAGTAGAAGACAGGCTGGTGTATAGGGAGATGTACAGAGAGAGTAGAAGGGAGGTGGCAAAAAGGAAATGGGATGAAACGAGAATATGGTATGAAGAATTGGAAACGAGTGAAGGGGAAAAGAAGATAGGGTTGCCAGAAATAAGAGGCAGGAGAAGAAAGATCTTTACAAGCAGAAGGGAGACATCTTGGAGTGTGATAATTATAGAGGAATCAAGCTTATGGACCATGTAATGAAGATACTGGAAAGGATAATTGATAGCAGGCTAAGAGAAGAAGTGCATAGATGAAATGCAGTATGGTTTCATGAAAAGGAAGAGTACAGTGGGTGCCATTTTTATAATTAGGCAAGTGCAAGAAGTGTTTACAGAGGAATAACAAGCTCTTCTATGCATTTATAGATCTGGAGAAACTGTACGATAAAGTGCCAAGGGAAGTAGTATATTAGTGTTAACATGGGAAACGGAAGCGGAAACGGAAGCGGAAACATGGGTCATACAAATAAATGAGGAAAACAGGTTGAAGAGAACGAAGATGAGGATGTTGCGTTGGCTATTGGGGGCTTCACTGAGAGAAAGGATAGATGAGGACGTATGACGAATAGCTGGAGTAAGAGACATCAGAGAAGTCAATGCAAAGTAATATGAGCCGGTGAGAGGAGGAAAGACGAGAAGGCGACAGAGAATTAGATGGAGGGAGGGAGTGGAGGCAGAGATGGGAAGGTTGGGAGTAACGGAGGACGATGTGGACGATCGAGGAAGGTGGAGAAGCATTGTCAACAGGGAGGTCAGCCCTTAGCTGACGTTTCAGTGTGGATCATATGCGAGAAACCAGGATCAAGAAGAAGGGTTAGGTAAGGATTACATTCATCATTGTCTATTAGCAGAGTTCAAAATATTATATGATAAATACCGTCACACAGATCCCTACAACTGCCCTGACCTCTACTGTGAAGCAAATACTTAATATCTATCATTAATTGTTACTTATCTATCATTGTTACTTATCTATCATTAATTGTTACTTATCTATCATTGTTACTTATCTATCATTAATTGTTACTTATCTATCATTGTTACTTATCTATCATTAATTGTTACTTATCTATCATTGTTACTTATCTATCATTTCAGCAACCAATTCAGAGCTCGGGGAATGATCCGATCAGCAACGCATAATCTCTCCGTGCCTACGCATCTAGAAACACCAATATATATCGTTAAATAATGATATATACACAGGGGTATAAATTAACTTTCGAACAAGGGAGTCCACAGTCGGAGGTTCAAAATTAAAGATATTAACAATAACGCATGTGCTAACGCAGATACCCTAATTTTCACGGGAATCCCCTCCAATAGTGTAGAAAGCACCGATGCACTAATCATCGATATGACTATAGTGCCATGAATATTAAAATCAAACCGGAAGACATCAGCGTCTCATACAGACTACAAAAACACAACTCTAGGACCCCACCATCAATCATTGTAAAATTCACAACTCGAAACTGGAGAGACAAAATATATGAACATAGAAAACTTGCACCGACACTCGATAAAATTGGCTTCACCTCCACAGACAAAATATTTATCAATGAGAGTCTAACAGAAGCCAGAAGACGACTATTCTCGAATGCCTGTCACTAAAAAAAGAAGAAGGTTACAGGTTCCTTTGGACCAGAAATGGCCAGATCCTGACCAGAAAAACTGAAGCATCTGAAATAATTCAAATTAATAACGATCAAGACCTTACTAAAATGCTATAGAATAGCCCAGCCAAAGCGGCTCAGTATCTGAATAAACCTGATATTTATCTTGATTATGATTAATTATCCATGTGCACACTGTAACAATCCATGTAAAACTAATCAACAAGCCATCTTTTGCGACATCTCCCGTAAATGGTGTCACCTTAAATGCACATCTCTTAATCAGAAATACCTTCAAGACACTCGCATCATCTGACATACCATACTACTGCACAAACTGCATCAACAACACCCTCCCGTTCCAATCATATGATATTGATGAAATCTCAGAATTCTTTCAATTAAACATAAACATCACTACACTTCTAGACCTACCCTCCCTATGCGACTCAGCTACCGTATCAACCTTTAAAAACGACGACCATGATCCTGATTAATTTCACCCTGTACACGATAGTAAATACAATACCCTAACAAAACTTAAAAACAACCCAAACCTTACCAACACAGACAAGGATTTACTAATAGTACATTTCAATACCAACAGTATAAACAACAATTTTCCTTTGATGACTGATGTCTTAACTCACTTCACTAAACCACCGGATATTATTGCTATCTCAGAAACTAGGCTGAGCGAAAACTACCTTTATCGGGAATCTTCCAGACTACACTTTTATTAATCAAAAATCCGCTACGAAAACCGGTGGCGTAAGGTTATACATAAAAAATAACATTCAATTTAAACAACGCCATGACTTAAAAGTGAACAATGTAAATTAACTTCCAAGCTGAAGATCTATGGGTTGAAATTAGCACATCATCTAAATCAAAGTCGAAAAATATAGTGATATAATCTATAGACACCCCAACTAACCACTTTAAGGAGCAATTACATAAAGTACTATCAAAACTGCACGATGCTGGACAAATGGCATACATCTATGGTGACATTAGCACCACATTATGTGTTCTTATTCGCACCACGGTAATTCGCAGTGCACACGCAAGCAGAAGTTAACTGATAGCCTTGAGTCGACCACTGAGCTCTATCATAGAATAATTTTTCATTTTTATTTTATATTTTATACATGTTGAAAGGGGGGTTGAAAGGAGTGCCAATATTAGGCAGTTAAGGGATCGTTTGCTCTAGGTTCTAGGGTTATTTTCAGTTAATTTAGGTTAAAATTATGCTACATAAAAAGTTCCATGGTTCAATCACCATTAGAAATATTATTAAAAAATTTAAAAAAAAAGTCATTTTGTACTGATCACGGATCTAACTGAGATTAACGTTATTAGCATTATTAAAAAAATGTTTTAAAACTAACGACGGGGGTGTGGGTGTAGACGATTTGTTATACAGTAAGTACAGTTGTATGCAGTAAAATCCTAGAGTCTACTATCCCTTTAATATGTATGAGCA